CTAGTAATATTAGGTTATGTTTTGGGAAATGGATTGATTTATGAAAGAAAATTCCTTTGGCTTATTACTTAAATTTATTTTGATTTTTAATGTCACTTTGCATGGGAAAGTGGGTAGGTTTTTAAAAAAATTCTACCTACTACAAAAATACTGTAAAGTTTCTCAAGAATATTTTGTCTGTAAAAGGATAAAAAAGGTCTCACGAAATATTAAAATAAGTTTATTAAAAAGAAGAATAAATACAGATTATTAGTTGCATGCCTTAATTGTCATCAGGGACTTCTGAATATGGTAAGCATGTTCCAGGCCTATTGTGCTTATCTACAGGACTTGTTCCTGGAGGATGACCACAAACGTAACCATCCTGGCAAACGTCACCTTCCAATGTACTGCAGGATTCTCTCGCACACTGGAAGAGAATGTAAGTATATAATTCATTGCGAAGTGAATCGATAACTACTTATTAACGAAATATTAATGCATTATAAGCAATGAGATAGATTTGAATTATTGTATCAATTTAACCCTTTTTAAAAACTATTTTGTTCGTATGTAATGTACACTTAATTTTGCGTTTTCTCTCCTCATATTTTCTTTTCATAAAAATATTTTTTTAGAAACAATACTTTAAATTACGTCTAGAAAAAAATAAGAATTAAATAATATTATTTATTCATAAGTATTTCTAAATATATAACGCAATTAAAACTTTTAAATCATACAGTAGAACTACAAATTTAAAGATTACAGAATTTCATGTGTATCGTCAATTTCAGAATTTCATCTGTATCAGTGTTTCTTAACCTTTTTGGTAGGATGGACCCCTTTTAAACAATTTTAAGAAGTCACGGACCACCCCCAGTGAAAAAATTAATTGCAAAAAAAAAAAAAAACAATTATTAGGAAACATATAATTTTGCTATTTTTCTAGCATACAAAATTTTTAAAATAAATATTTTTAATGTTGTTGCTGCTTTACCTTAATTAATAAATTGACTTGAGTAATGGTTTTCAACAAGGTAAGGAGCATATCATGTTCAACATTCAATCAATTTCAGTGTTTTGTGTTTTATTGTCACAAGTGTGAAAAATCCCGCTTCGCAAAGATACACTGTAGAAAACGGAATTATAGCGGCCACAGCTCATTTTACAAGCAATGGGAAGGCTTCCAAACATTTTAAAAATTAGGAGTAGTCGGCGGACCCCCAAAATTCAACCCATGGACCCCTAAAGGGTTCATGAACCACAGGTTAAGAAACCCTGATCTCTATCGTCATAAGGATCCCGGTATGGAATGGATTCTACACCATCGTCTGCTGAAAAAATCGTCTTCATTCCCATCCAAAGAAATAGAAGTTCTACCCTTTTTTAAAAGATTATACAATAATATTTGAACTTCAGTTAGCCACTCATCTATAGTTTTGTTTTATTTTTATTTTATAACCGTCGTTGAACAGCCGACCCAATTTTGGGTCTAACTTCCTTTGAAATTATACATTACTTGATTAATGAACTATTGTACGGTAAGTTGGATGTAGTTATTTAAAAAAATTCATTATTGATTTTTTGTAATTTAAACATTTATAAATGTCGTAAGGAGATAAATCTCCTCCAAACATACATCAAATCTAGACACTATCCAAAAAACATTTGCCGTTAAAGAAATTTATGTAATTGTAAACAAAGCCTTTCCTTTGCATTTTTTTTATTTTTCTATTTTATTTATTTACTTACTATATTTTTTATTTTTTCAGTAGATGGTAGAACAAATCAAAGGTAGGAAAATTGTTTCCTGTTAAGTTATGAGTATTCAGTTATTTAAGAAGTTATGAAGCATACTTCCCACTGATATATAAAGAGTTAACACGGAAAATTTCCATCATTAAATCAGAAGTTGTTTTGTCTTTTTTTTCCTACCGACTCTAAAACTTAATAAATGAAATTCTATTTAATTATTCTCATTTAGTTTATTACCTTCATGCATACATCACAGCAATTGCATTCATCTTTGTAGCTGCCGCATTCACAAGAAATTGTAGCACACGACTCAGGTTTGCATTTTTCACACACTCTTGGAGATCGAGCATCAGACTTTAGGACCCTGAAATTATATTGTCCAAATATCAATAATTATTTTAAAACGCTTTTTAGCACTCTATCAAGTGGCAGAGTTGTTGGAAAACTTCTACCAAATGGTAGTATGATAGTAATTATAATAGTAGAGGGATTTTTCTGAAATTTAAAGAATAGTGGTGGCAACCGTAAAAAATTTAAAGAATGATTGAGAAAGAGTGAAGAAACAAAGTATTTTTACTAATTCCTATTCACCAAAACATATTTGTAAGTTAAAGGAAATGTATTTGGATATTAAAACAGTTCAATGCAGTTCCCAAAATTAAAGTGACATTAATCCTTTAAAATTTCCAACAACCGCATAATACATTAGACATCACTTTATAAATTTTCACAGTTTTAACCACCTTGTCAGCCATGATGGCTCTGTGGTTAAAGCACTGTGAACTGTTATATTGTAAAGAGCTGGGCTCGATTACTCAGTGGTGGCTTGAAGCTCACCCAACTTGAGTACCAGCGTGTCTGCGAAGAAATTGTGGTCTGTGCGCAGTGCTGGCCACAATAGCGCCGTTGGTCAAGAAATTGTGGACCTTGACTTCCATGAGCGGACTGTTACGGGAATGCTCTACTTTTAACCACCCTGTAAAGTTGATTTTTATCCGCATTCAAAGGCATAACTCTCCTATTATTTATATTTATAATTTCATTTACTCACCTTTCAACAATTAATTTGTCATAATTGGCAAACAAAAATTTAAAAAAAAACTTTTCTTAAACTTTAAAAATTAAGATTCGTACAAAAATTTTATTACTACTTTACCGTCTTCATATGACTACGGATATCCAGTCCGTGAGGTTTATAACCTTAATAATCTATATCTATTAAAAAATGTGACAATTCAGGATGTTGAATGATGTAGAAACTGTGGCCATAGTGCCCGATTGAAAATTGATGCTACCCACTTTTTTTTTTAAAAAAGATAACAAAATATTTCAGATTCAGCTCACTCCATTTTGGAGGCAACACGACTGCCAACTAAATATAATCATTAAAATTATCAACAAGTCTTGGTAGTTAAACTGTTTAATTTTATTTTATAGCAGGCGTTGTGAACAACACACCCATTTTTGGGTTTACGACTGTCAATGATCAATACCATAGCCTTGATTTTTTTTTAAACACAACTCAGAAAACAAGGAAATTCGTGGATCAAGCATTAAGACAAACTAGCTGTTGTAAATGACTTTTTGATGCAACTAACTCGTAATTATGTTACATAAGAAGAAAAACACGAAAACACCCCCGGTTAGCCCTATGGTAAGGGGAACCTGATTACCACTGAAGATATTTCTATGTCAGCACTGTGGTCGGTGCCGAATTCGTATAGACCAGTCATCGCTGGTATTCGAACCTGTGTCACTTCATTAAGTGGTGAGCGTTCTATACCCTGAGCCACCGCTGCTTGTTAGTCAAACTATCGTATTTCACCTTCGACGACCAGTTAGTTCCCCCTCTTTTGAAAGGCGCCTATCCTATAACCTGCTTTTTAAATCTTCCTTCCCTACTTTGTGCTGAATTGACCACGGGGTTTTAATTGTTGAGCGTTCATAAACCTACAGTAATCATTTGTTTCACCATAAAAATTTATCTAGCGATTGTAAAAGATGTGAAAATATAGTTATTTGAAACTGATCACACTGGGGAACGATTTCTTTTTTTTTCCAGCTCACTTCGTTTCTTGTTGCATTGAGATTTTTTGGCAGATCTCAGCTTCTATCGCTGTTGTTGTTGTAGCTCATTTACGTTGCACTACAGCTGCACAATGGGCTATTGGCGACGGTCTGTGAAACATCCCTGAGGATAATCCGAAGACGTGCCATCACAATTTTGATCCTCTACAGGGGGGGTGGCACCTCCGCTTCAGTAGCCCAACGACCTGCACGCGAAGTCGAGCACTTTACGGTAGAACAGTTTAACGAGGACCAATACCGCACACCCTCGGTCCCTACTCAGACTGATCCAAGTGGTCACCCACCCGCACACTGACCTCAGCGAGTGATGCTTGACTTCGGTGATCTGCTGGGAACCGTGTCTCAACGATCAGTCCACTGCGGGACCAGCTTCTGTCGCATGTCTAATTTCAAATCAACAACCGGTTTCTCTCAACCTGCTACAATTTTTATGTATATTAACATAATAATCCAAACCTGGATTCTTTAAAATTCACCTGAGAGACTACTAAGTATCCCCACTTCTCTGGGACGCAGTGCGTGGTAGGAGGAAGGCGTTAATACATTTCAGTATACAATGCCATAAGTTAAAGTCATATGCTTTTTATCTTCAATATAATTTTCGAAAGAGCAGACAAAGCCGTGGTGACTCAGGGAATAAAGCGGTCGCCTTCCAATGAGGTGAACCGGGTTCGAATCCCAGCAATGGGTGGTCGAAACGAATTCCGCACCCGGCCTGGGCAGCCTTAAAAGAAGGAGTTATTAGTTCCGGGTGGACATAGCACTCGTTTCGTGACGTCACGCATCACGGTCCATCTACGTTTTGAAGGTTGTAGTAATTTGAATGTTATTCTAAAGACATTACTTTAATCATTAAATTTCAATCTCTGCTAGAAAGGGAATCTTCATTTCAACGAAAACATAATTGTTAAATTTCCTTAGTAATAATTTTAAAATGATATTTATTTCCTGAATTTCTCTGCACTCTTCCACAAAAAATAACTTTTTCATCCATCTGCATATTTATAATTCAAAATATGGATCGTAAACAAAGTAAGAAAATCTTAGTACATTTAAATATTTCAACTATTAAAAATGAGATTTTTCAGAAAAACAAATAACTAAATTTCTTTTTAAATATAGAACATCAGTTAACCTCAAAACTTGACTAGAAACGAATTACAAATTGTTGTTTTTTTTAATTTTTCTGCTGCCTAAATTACTTGACATTAAAAGTTTTCAGCTACTGTCGGAATTAGAGTGTACAAAATATAGTTCAATATTAAATGTACTAGAATTTAATTTATTTTTATTAAACACAATATAAATTTTATCTATATACTTCTTTTGCTTTTTATTTTTGTTTCTTTTGCATATTTAATTGCCAAACATATAACATCATATAACTTAGTGCAAATGAAATTATCATCCGTAAGAAAAGTTGTAAAGATTCTAAATGTATAGAGAGATAATTAGTTTATTTAATAAATACTAATTGTGCTCTGTCCAAACATTTTAATTTTTCTTCTTCTTTTGATTAGTCAAAGATAGTAAATATTTCTTCTACTCTTTATTAAATAGGATTTAGATGAAATGCTGCTTATCAATAATTTATTGCAAATTACATTATTAACGCATGCAATTTTTTTTTATGGCAGGCACTGAACTTCCGGAAGTGTTGCTCATTTATCGTTACCCAGTGGGCACCTGTAAACCTAAATCACGGAAGTGAACAACATTACTCACGCCACACTGCCACAGATACCCATTCATACCCCCCACAGATACCCAGGGACACATTCACACATCACACAATAGAGAACTGCATAGAAAGAAACATCCATGCCCGGAGCGGAATTCGAACCCGCAACCATTGGCTACACAGTCAGGCTGGCGGACCGTCCTTGCCGTCAGGCTAACCGTGGGAGGTTTTCATGGTTTTTCTCACTATGTTACTCATATGAGGATTAGTTCCACCAGAAAGTCGCTCAAAAAGGCGAATTTCACTGAATACTCGATCCAAGAGTTCCCTTGTCTTCGGGATAAGGTTCAAAATTACAAGGTTACTGAATTGAAAATTGGTAGTCTTAAACTCAAATATTTAGCTCAGCTTTTTAACAACAATTATTAAAAAACAAAAACAAATTCTAACCATAAGAAAGACATTACTTTTTGAAATTATAAGGAATAAATAATGAATATTTAGGACTTACATATACGCGTCAACGATATTTTTATTACAGAAAGGATGAAAATGCAATTAATAAAGTTCGAACAATATAAAGATAAATAATGTGAAAAGTGCATAATGTTACATTAACCGACAAATGATAAGATCGTTTCGTGAGCTATAATGATCAAAGTACCTATTTTCTGGTAAAGAAATATTACTCAAACATACCTAATGATCTAACATATCTGTTTCTGTCGCAACTCAGAAAAAGGTACTTCGACTATAATCGAAACGATGATTTGTCTGTTGTAAAATTATTTATTTTCTGCTAACTTATTCTAACTTATGTTAAAATTAATTATATATTTTTAAAATAAATCTAATTTAATGTAAAAACGATTTAATAATAGTACCAAACATAGTGAGTGAAAGAGTTTACTTACAGTAATCCCAGAAGAACGATCGTGGCTACGAATAAAGTTACAGATCTCATGTTGCCTGCTGAAAAAATAATTCGTTTCTGTTACAAACAAAGGAGTCAGTTGATTCGTAAAATCGAAAAAAAATATCTATTTGTACCGGCTGTGCGCCCCCATACTTTTTCAGGTTGTTGTCAGAAATAAAACATTTTTAGATAAGATATAAGTGACATTTTATAAAAACAGCTGGAGAAAAAACGGAACTCAAAATATTTGTTCAAAAGATAAACTATCAAAAAGGGTCTAGAATGACGTGTTTCGCACTTTGTCACAAATTTTTACCGTATCAAGGATATTTAAATCTGATTAAAAAAAATAGGTTTACGATTGTTATTCATGTTTCCTGTTTTCTGTGTCATACGAAAATTTTACGTATAAAATTTACTGTTCTTCTGATCTAAATCTGTCTTTAAATATATATAAATTAAAATTTGGTCTGATAGTAAGACACAGTTCTCAGTAGATTAGCGAAATTAAGCATCACAAAATGCGGTCACTGTACAGGTGGAGGACCACTTTGGTTAGCCTGCGAGTTGACCGAGAGTGTGCAGTATGGGTCATCATCAAACTGCTCCGCACACAGGTCATCAGGTTACCCAAACGGACTAGCCATCCCCTCTGCAGAGAATCAAAATTGTGATAGCATGTTTTCGAATCATCCTTAGAGATGTTTCTCAAAATCATCCTTGGAGATGTTTCTCAAAATCATCCTTGGAGATGTTTCTCGTCAATAGCCTATCGTGAAGCTCTAGTACGACTTAAGTAAAGTACGACTACTATACTCAAATCAGTAGAATTAAAATTCAATTCAAATTGAATAAAACTGTTCTTTTTGGGTTACGGAAACTTAAATCACTAAATTTCAAAATTTTTCTTTAAACCAGCGCCAATATAAATATCGTGATTCTGATATACTCAAAAGTCTCTTTGTGGCACTGTTAAAATAATGATAGTGATAGTAAAATTTATATCATGAAATGTGTTGAATCAACTTATTATAAAACGTAACTGATCGCCGCAAAACTCCTTTTAACTGTGATAAATATATAGAAATGTCGATAAAAAGAATTTGAACTTCAGTGGTTACATAATTAATAATCCAAACCTGGATTCTTTAAAATTCACCTGAGAGACTACTAAGTATCCCCACTTCTCTGGGACGCAGTGCGTGGTAGGAGGAAGGCGTTAATACATTTCAGTATACAATGCCATAAGTTAAAGTCATATGCTTTTTATCTTCAATATAATTTTCGAAAGAGCAGACAAAGCCGTGGTGACTCAGGGAATAAAGCGGTCGCCTTCCAATGAGGTGAACCGGGTTCGAATCCCAGCAATGGGTGGTCGAAACGAATTCCGCACCCGGCCTGGGCAGCCTTAAAAGAAGGAGTTATTAGTTCCGGGTGGACATAGCACTCGTTTCGTGACGTCACGNAATTAACGAAATTAAGCATCACAAAATGCGGTCACTGTATAGGTGGAGGACCACTTTGGTCAACTTGCGAGTTGACCGAGGGTATGCAGCAGTATGGGTCATCTTTAAACTGCTCCGCACTCAAATTTGTAGCATTAAAATTCAATTCAAATTGAATAAAACTATCATTTTTGGGTTACGGAAACTTAAATCACTAAATTTCAACATTTTTCTCTAAACCGGTGCCAATATAAATAGGATGATTCTGATATACTTATAAGTCTCTTTGTGGCACTGTTAAAATAATGATAGTGATAGTAAACTTTGTATCATGAAATGTGTTGAATCAACTTATTATAAAACGTAACTGATCACCGCAAAACTCCTTTTAGCTGTGATAAATATATAGAAATGTCGATAAAAAGAATTTGAACTTCAGTGGTTACATAATTAGATAAATTTTCATTTATTTTGACAACTTACTATTGTTAGCTCGTAGCTTACTAATACTTGAATATACTATTTGAATTAATGCTACAACTATTTTTTGGTAGATCACTGGGACCGCAAAATATTGGGACATGCTGTACCAGCTTAGTTTTATTGGTTGAAATTTTTGCTTTTCTTTCACTTAGTATCCTGTAAGTTTACGTACGTATAATCTCCTCAGTGCTGTTTCTATAGAACTCTGCATCATTAGTGTACACAGGCATGTGATAGAACTTGAATGTGCTAAATATTTTAAATAGTTACTGATAGATATTAACTGAACGCTCATTGTAGTACTTAAATATAATGTAGACTGTCCAAAAAAGGAAATAGTCCCATGATAGTATAGTAACCGCTTTTAAATCGTAGTAGTTAATGGATTCTTAAATTAATCAGGTGAAATGTAATCCATAATTTTTGATTAATTAGTCAATTCTTGCTAGAATGGCATATTAATGCCCTTCCTGAACTCTGTTCTATAAATATGAACTTTCATGCAAAATCCCGCAAATAAATTGTCACAAAATAAACTGCAGGAACTCATCCTTGAAGCAATCCTAAAATGTGCTTTATAATAAAAACTACAATTAAGAATTACCATGCATAATTTAACCAAATAATTTGCAATAGCATTTTAACTATACCATGTAATACAATTTGTAAAATCCTTAACAAAAATAAACCGTTGAACCAATTTTATTTTTATGATTGACTTCTGAACTTTAAAGGTCATGGCCAGAGAATTTCAAATCCAATTCATACTTTTAATATTACATCCTTATTGTTTTAATCACGATTACTTTGAGTGATATTTTTTATCAAAAGTAATTTTGCCTTCATAATTTTTTTTCGAAAACTCAAAACTCAATTAAGTTTTTTTTACAGTTGCAGCACAATAAACTTTTATAAAACATATCTTCTTTTGAAAATTCCTAAGTTTTTCAGCTCTGAATTCTACGGGAAATTCCTGATAGGGATATTATCTTTGTATAATTTTTTTTTTAAATTTAACTTCATGTGTCCTTAAAGACCTTATATGCATCCACTTCCTTGTAAGTTATTAAAATCCATTTGGAACTATTTCTAGATAATTAGCTTACTATTAAAGACATCGTTTTCAGTCTAATGCTCTAGAAACAGGATGCAATCGTATAATTACAATCGATCAAACTATTCTATAGTTAAAATCCTATATAGTCAATCAAACTAAGGAAATTATTTGAATTTACATTAATTGCGTACATAAAAATGATCTCATCATAAACGACAGACAAACATGCAAATTAAAATATCTCATCTGTATCCTCGCACGCAGACCAATAAGAGAAAGCTTTGAGTTAACGATGCCTGCAGGAGATAAAATGAAAGATAGAAGACCCATTTCCACGTGCTCTTGACCACGGATGACTGGCCATAATGAACCGACCAGGTGAAAATGTAAGTCGAAAGTGGATACTACATTTTTACCACATCCATCCCAAAGCAAACATCATCAACGAAAACAAAAGCTCGATGTACTTTATGTTCCATGATGCGTTTCGAATAAAAAATGGGTCATCACGTAAATATGTGTGATGCCAAACTGTCCGAAAATAGACCTGGGAAAAAATTTTGAGACAGAAAAATTTTTGAAATCCTGCTCAAAAGAAAATTTCTCATTTGTAGATAGTCAGTGCGATCGATCGAAGTTTTGGTTCGAGAAGTGCAAACGATTCATTGGAAGAATGCAAACGAAAGATGCTCTCTATTGGAATATATTGATGTAGTGCTTATAGCTCTATATCCTGAATAATAAGGTAAGCAGCTTTTTAATGACTTAATAAACTAATGTAATTAAAATTCTGAGTATTTAAATTGTGATTTAGGAGCAACGTGATATTTAAATCTACAATATTGAAAAATGTAAACAAAATAAATACTTCAAACAGTAGCTATTAAAACGTACTTCATTAAGCGCATTAATTTGATTTAAAATAAAAACCCTGCTGATGGGATCATTTAATCAAATGTTGTCATGTTACGAAAAATATCATTAAATTATAATTAAAGCTTATTACAGCTTCCTCAAAGCACATCTTCTAACAACAGTGCACTTTCACCAAATTTTTTCTCCTTCTTATGTCTTTTACAGTTCGAGGCAATTTTTCATGAATTCCATTAACTGATTTTCTATCGTCACACCGGAAATAAAATTACAACAAACAAAATGAGAAGAGTGCCACAGCATTTTGTTAAGTAAATACTAAACTAATAACGCTTTTCTTTTCTTCATGTGCAGGTGTGTGGAATTGCTTAAAAAATGACAGCAAGAACCCACAATATCGCCTTATATATACAGGATGGCAAAAAATAATGTGGATACAAAATTTCAATGCTTGTTAAAACATCACAACCATATTTTTATCTTTCAAATGTTGTTGTAGTTCACTTACGCCGCACTAGAGCTGCTCAAAGGCCTATTGGCGATGTTCTGGGAAATATTCCTGAGGATGATTCGAAGACATGTCATCACAATTTTGATCCTCTGCAGAGAGTATGGCACCCCCGCTTCGGTAGCCCGACGACATGCACGCAAAGTCGAGCCCTTTCCGCTAGAACAGTTTAAAGAGGACCAATACCGCACACCCTCGGTCCCTATGCAAACTGATCCAAAGTGATCATCCACACACTGAACGCATCCAGTGATGCTTGGCTTCGGAGATCTGCTGGGAACTGTGTCTTAACGAGGGACAACTTTCAAACGAAAACTAACCCAATATACCTGTTTGGTTAGATGGTATACCATTTCTTTGCTTTAAGAACATGAAAACTGATGGCACAATTTTTAGTTTCAACCCTGAATAAATAAAACATGTCTATCCAATGTGAATATTAGCAATATGAAACTACCAATTTTATTCGGTAATCATGAAATTCTCATATTTTTTTAAGCCTTAAGTGGTAGTTAACTTATAAAAATACCCATTTAATTGAAAAAATTTAGTATTGTCACACTTTTTCTAATAAAACTTTTAATAATTATTATATGAATTACACATACCTGCCAACTTTTACGCTCTTCAAAAAAGTTTTTTCCTGATGATAGTGAATTAATTGAAGTGATATTGTAGACCAATGCTAAATTCACTAAAAACACAATTTTCATCAAAGCCCATTGAGATAACTAGCTGATTTTCTTAATGTATATTTTAATTATTTAAATGTAATGATAGTTAAAATTATAATAAATCTAATTTATTAAAACTGAAATCAAGCATGAATGCGAAAAATCTGCTACCATACTAAATTTTAAAATAAAATCTGCCGGAGAATCTGGAAGAGTTAGCAGATACGAATTGCATCATAAGGGTGAAAATATTACTATTTACAAATTTTGAAAGTGACCATCTTTGACCTTATTTAATAGCTCAGAGCAAGTTACAAAATTTTCTGCTATAAGCCGCAACTCGCCTACTAATATTGTGTCCTTTTCCTTCCTCAAAGATTTTCTTAAAAACAACAAATTCTGTTTGTTTAGATCAAACTCTTGCCTACAAAAAGAGCTAAAACCAAACTTCGATTGACGCTATGGTGATCATTCTTGAGCAATAGGATAATTGCACTTCAAGAAGAAGATCACGAATACCCACATATGTGACTTATGACGTCAGCTGATCTTTTATAATCAAAACGGCTTATTAAGTTAGAACTAAATTTCTCCACATAAGTTAGAATGTTAATTGACGTGAAGTTAATCAAATACAGCTCCGTATCACTCATCAAATTTGTTGAAATACAACTATTTCTCGTCTACGTCTTTCACTTAACTTAGATTTATTATTTGTTTATGTATTTTGTTGTAAACACGATATAATTTTGTTTTGTATATCTGGCAACTTCGATGCATAATTAATTTGCCTATGTTCTGCATTGCTACGTGCCAGTCTTTGTGTTAAGTAAGAAATATATAGTGAAAGAATTGAAGTTTTCGTGAAAGAGTATAAAATGTGTCACTTAAGAAAATTGATACTTGACGGGATTGGATTACTCGAAATAGAATGGAAAGAACAGTTGCTAACGTAAACAAATGCCACGTTTCAACAACCAATCAGGAACGAGATACCCACATTACTTCACTTGCAGGTATTAGAAAAATTTAATAGAGCTAGGGCAAAAAAAAACTTATTAAAAAAGCTAGAAAAAAAGTTGGTACAAGTTAAAAATAGTTCAGTCCCTTGTATGATTCTTGAGACCTTTTATCTATATGTGCTGGAGCGTAGTCCTGTTGAAAGGTTCCTGTTCGGCTTCTATAGAACTTTTGTGAGTGAAGAAGCAAAAATGAGTCTTCAAAAATGAGTTAGCGATAAAATTATTTGGTTTTAAACTGTGCACTACAAAACTGTTTGGTTTTTAGCTGTGTTATATGTTACGTACGTACGGGTAGACAACATCATGGAAACAAGGGTATGATATAGAAATAGCCTTTCCTCCAACTGAATATATTATTTTGGAAAAAACTGCTAACTGTTAGTATGTTTTGAAAGAACAAAAGCTTCTAGAAATTGTTATTTGTAGCTAACTATGCGAAAATCGTATAGGCTAAAATGAAAGGAGTAAATTGAAACATTCGTTCCTTATTTTAATATCAATAATTTCATAAAAAATCATATTTTTCTCTATTACACAAAGTAAGCATAATTTAAATTTAATGCGCTCGCATTCATTATAGAACCAACATAATTTGCTTATTATGAGCAAAAAATGAATGTAATTAAATGCTTGCGGTTTTCGTAGCAAAATGTCTTAAAATTATAGCGTTTTTGAAAAATCACTTTCATTTTTTCGTGAAAAAGAATAGACTTTTTCAAAACAATGGCTAAGGGGGGGGGGGGGGCCTTNAGGGGGGGGGGGGGAGTCCTTTCATTTATATAAGCTTTCAAAATAACTGAAAAATGATTAATGATTCGCTGTGCTGGCAGTGACATGTATGAAATTTCTATGTTCAAAGGTTTGAGAAATTTTTTTAAAATACCTTTTATGAATAAGAATAAGAAAGAATAGTAAGAATAAGAAATAATAATAAGAATAAGAAAGAAAACATACAATTAATAAAATGAAGAGTTTATACGCCTGTCTGCGTGTGCAAGTCCACATATAACTCCTACAAAATTTGGGTAAGCATCCTGAAATTTTAGCCCCCGTTCCTTCTAAAATTCGTTTAAAATTAGCCTGGTTGGTAGGGTACTGGGCCCATGTTCAAGAGGTCGCGAGTTCGATGACGGCCGGTTGAAGATTCCCCGTGTAGTAAATGATGACTGATGCACGTTAAATCTGTCGAGACACAAAGTCATCCATGTTCCCACAACAAATCAAACCTCTGGGGGTACTGATCCAGGAGTTTCCTTGTCTTCTGGATTGGCTCAAAATTACAAGGCTGCGGAGTTGTAGTCTTAAGCCTAAAATTGGGTCGGCTGTTCAACGACGGTTATATAAAATTTAAAAAAAAATAGATTGTTCGAGAGAGGCATTTGAAAAATGGAATTTTCTGAATGATTTAGCATTAGCCATTATTTTAAATTAAACTGTAGACGGTTCTATTTTTTTAAAAAATATCTTTAAGATAACATTATTGATGTTTAGTAGCTTATAACTCGAATTATTTAAAAAGGAGTATATTAAACATTCTTTAATAATTAATGATTCATTAGTATAGTTTTATCAGATAAAGTAAATGATAAATGTGAACGGGGAGCATGCATGATCTACGTCACCAAGTTAGTTTTCCTAAAGTTGTCTGAAACGGCGTGTTTATTTCGTTTATAGTTTTGCTTTTAATACATGTTTAAAATTTTTTAAAATAAACAGTAATTTAAATTTAAAAAAATAAAAAGAAAAGAAAAATCAATAGAGGAATGATTTTAATTCGTTAAAGAGAAACGTAAAAAATCGCCATACTATTATTGGAGCCAATATTGGTATAGTAATTGGGGTACGTTTAACAGGTACAAAATATACTAATATAGATAAAATTAATATATTCGATACCTATTAAAACTGCATCAAAACTGTGTTAGTTTTAATTTAGATACCGTGGAAAGAATTTTTTTCAGTATCTTGATTGCGGTAAATTTTGACTGTTTGATGGGATGATCGGGATAATCTAATAAGGTAAAGTCATTGATAAGGACAAAAATATAATAATAAATAAAAAGGAATTCGAATTATCTTTGATTTATTAATTGTGCCGGTATGTGTCTTTCAGTCTTACGCATGATTACTTAGTATTGATCAGTACTCATTGATTGATTATTTACTCCCCCCCCTGAGTAAAAAACGGATATTCAGCTAGTAATCAATCATAATAATCAGTGTATAAATCAGCGTATAAATCAGTGCTGAACAGCACTTCAAAATCATGTACAAAAGTGAAACCGGTAATAAAATTTAATATATGTAAATTTAAAATGTAAGTAGTGGTGGAAAAAAAATTCCATTAATTATAATTCACTGAAATATTCATACACTATCTCTGATACCACCTGAAAAAATATTTTCTGAAGTTATGGAACTCTTAGATTTGGTAGTATTACTGCCGGTTAGAGTAATAAGGGTTTAAGAGGAAGAAACAAATACGTTATCGAATCGCTAGTGTGAGAGGCGGGATAAAAAAACAAAACAAACATCAATACTATATGATTGCATGTTGATACATGGTTGTTGTTTTTTAAAAAACGTCTTTCAAATCCTCTGTATTTCCTCTGGCAATCTATCAAATCGTGATATTTCCACTTCCACCTTCAAAGTGAATCGTTAGATT